CATAGGTTTAAATATTGTCCCGCTCTAGTTATCCCCGGCCGATGAAATCGGGAGGCGGATATTGTTTTGGCGTTGTCCGGCGTCCTTCTGTCCGCCCGTCCAAATTTCATTTCCTCGCTAGTTCTCTGCAATTACAGGCTGGAATTTAACAAAACTTTATGGGAACCATCAATACCAAGAGGAGATGGGCATATCGTTGCCTTGTTCCAGTCAGACACTATAACTCAGATTTATGGTCCTTGATTAGTTATGCAGTATGCATATAGAGCAAAAATCGTTTACGCGCTACTTCTCCGCAACTACAGGCTGGAATTCAACAAAACTTTATGGGAACCTTCAATACCAAGAGGAGATGCGCATATTGTTGCCTTGTACCGGTCAGACACTTTAACTCAGAGTTATGGCCCTTGATTAGTTATGCAGTATGCATATAGAGCAAATATCGTTTCCGCGCTACTCCTTTGCAACTACTGGCTGGATCCAACGAAACTTTATGGGAACCTTCAATACCAAGATGAGATGCTCATATCGTTGCCTTGTTCCGGTCAGACACTTTAACTCAGAGTAATGGCCCTTGATTAGTTATGCAGTATGCATATAGAACAATAATCGTTTTCACGCTACTTCTCTGCTACTACTAGCTGGAATCCAAGGATACTTTATGGGAACCTTCAATACCATGAGGAGATGGGCATATTGTTGCCTTGTTCGGGTCAGATACTTTAACTCAGAGTTATGGGCCTTGATTGGTTATGCAGTATGCATGTAAAGCAATAATCGTTTCTGCACTTCTTCTCTGCAACTTCTGGAATTTAACGAAAATTTATGGGAACCTTAAATACCATCAGGAGATGCGCACATCGTCGCCTTATTTAGGTCAAACACTTAAACTCAGAGTTATGGCCCTTGATTAGTTATGCAGTATGCTTTTAGGGCAAACTTTATGAGAACCTTCAATACCAAGAGCAGATGCGCATATCATCGCCTTGGACAAGTCAGACACTTTAACTCAGAGTTATAGCCCTTGATTAGTTAAACAGTATGCATATAAAGCAATAATTCTTTCAACGCTACTTCTCGGCAACTACTGGCTGGAATTTAATTAAACTTTATGGGAACCATTAATACCAAGAGGAGATGTGCACAAGTTGTTGCCATGTTCAGACCAGACCTTTCATTACAGAGTTATGGCCCTTGATAAGTTATGTAGTATTCATATAAAGCAATATAGCTATTTCTTTACCACTGCTGTATTGATGTCAACAAAACTTTATGGGAACCATCGATACAAAAAGGCAATTTACATCTCATTGGCATGTCCATACTATCCATTACTATTTAACACGGAGTTACGGCTCTGTTTTTGCCCTGAATATTTATCATGTCGAAGAATACTACTGTTGACGCAATGATAAATATATATAAATAAAGCCTTATGTCTTCAGTTGTTGCGTTAGTAACAACCAGTACTCGGCGGGGGATATAAATTCAACGAATTTGCTTGTTGGACATAGGTTCTTATACAAATACAAAAGTAAATGCTTATAAAATCTCTTCTTGTGAAAACCACAAAGGCTGGAACATATTTGGCATGAACTTTGACTTATGGATAGTTAAAAAGTTCATTCAAATTATAGCACTTGGCTAAAATTTCATATGCAAACAGTGACAGTCAAAGCAACCATGGATTTTTCTTAACCACATGAGACTTTGGAAGCAAACATCTACCCACCTTAGCAACAATTAAGTGATTTTCATAGCAACCATTAACTTTAATAGAGACTAGTAAATTCCATAACAAAACTTTGTTTCCTTTGCAACCGGTAACTTCCAAAGCAACCAATGTCTTTCCATAGCAATCAGTGATTTTCAGAGCAATCATTTAGTTTCCATATCAACCAATGATTTCAAAAGAAACCATTTTCTTTTCCTCAACAACCAGTTACTTTCAAATAAACCATTGACTGGCTTAAGCAACTAGTGATTTAATAGCAACCATTCACTTTTTGCAATCAGTGACTGCAGTAGCAACTGGTGACTTAAAGTTGCCCCGTACTTCACTTTTGTGTTGTTATATTTTTCTGGTCCTTCGGGATCATTGATGCCAGCACTATTGAGTGTTGAGAATTTAGTACCGCTCAGGCTGGTGCTAGGGGGCGTGAGGGATGTTGCACGTATTCATTATCCCTCATGTACAGACTCAATCAAACCGAGTCTGCAATTCTCTTGTAATTTTGTTGTGACAAATGCTTCCGAGGGATCACTTTGTTACCAGATTTTTTTTTCTACAACCACCGCCTTCCATAGCTACCATTGACTACCCCTAGCAACAATGACTTCCATATCAACTGTTGACCTTCCATAGCGACAAGTGTCACCAATAGAAACCGTTGGCCTCTCATAGATATGAATTTTATTTAAATGTTGACCTAGATGTTTAGCCTACTACCGACTTTCAATCATAGTTATAAATATTCTTTGTCATGTTTAGCCTTTATAGTCAGATGAGGGTCTTTATTTGTATGTAAGTATTTTTCAATGTTCTCTGTTGCGATGTGATTCTGACATACATTGTACATAACTGAATTTAAAAGACATTTCCCACTTTCGCAGAAGAAACACTCAATAGACATGCACTGATGGAAAATATCACCTCAATCAAAGAAGTTTTACATATTTGCGTAAACTGTGTAATAGGCACCATGCATGTGTGACCATTTACAATAAAAAGAAAATGTCACGATTTAAACAGGCTTTTTATCAAGAAATTCATCAATGGTATATTTTATAATCAGTGAAAAACTAACTATGCATGAGCTGCGACTTTGTTCTTGATCAAAGCGAAATGGTATTCTTTCGTCTTTAAGTAATGTTGCATGAAAGAAAAATGTAAGCTAACTGATGTAAGATTTACGGAAGAGCATTAGTGCCAGGTGTATGTTTTTTATTAACTCGAAATTTCTAGTTACTAACTCGAAATTTCAACTTACTTATCTCGAAATTTCGAGTTACTAACTCGAAATTTCAAGTTACTTATCCCGAAATTTCGAGTTACTAACTCGAAATTTCGACTCAGTCACTCGAAAATTCCGACTTATTTACCCGAAATTTCGACTTAATAACTCGAAATTTCGAGTTACTTATCTCGAAATTTCGAGTTACTTATCTCGAAATTTCGACTTAGTAACTCGAAATTTCGAATTACATTGCACGACTTTCATTGGTTGCCGGTGAAAGCAAGGATTGAATTCAAGATTTATCTACATTTATTTCACAGAACAATTTAATAGGGTCAAATTGCCCACACATACAGAACATATGCTTCGCTTTTTTGTGGAGGGGGGGGGGGTGTAAAATCACACTTTCCACATTTCCGTGTTAACCGGATGTTGTTTTTTTTTTTAAGCACACATACAACCATCATGTGGAGAAACAACAAGTCCAAAACCTACCATATTGTAAACTGTGCAATATCATGTGTTAAATAAGTTTTAAATGGCGTGTATACGCCAGTTAGTATGTCACGTTTCTTTATACTATTAATGTTTTTGTAACATTATTCATTATTTATTCATACTTTGATTCATATTGTGTTGATAAAAGTTGATAAAAGTGGAACTTGTTGTTATATATATGTTTGGAATAATATAAAAGCATCCGATTTTACAAGAAATATAGTCAGTCCAACAATTTTGACAAAGGCCTCAGCACGCCTATTTTGCCCACGCCGCGATACTTTCCGCAGATGTCCCACATTTGAAGTATAGGATCGTTTTATTCACAGGGATGAGAAGAATATGATAAGTGAAAAGATATGTTCGAACAGAGGGAATACAATACAACGTGTGAAGAACGCCTGAACGTACAAATTAAAGGTCCTTCAAGCCTTGTGTTTTTAGGTCGGGTGTGTACATGCCATTACTAAGTTTAAGTTTAATTTCAATAGTTTTTGTCCAGGCACCCGTTTCTCCATCTCCATCGTTCAACGGCACTCCCTACTATATCTTATATCATCTAACTAATAACTTTGGCCATTCTTGCAATGTTCATAAGTCGAAATTTCGAGTTACTAAGTCGAAATTTCGAGTAACTAAGTCGAAATTTCGAGATAAGTAACTCGAAATTTCGAGTTAGTATGTCGAAATTTCGAGTTAATAAGTCGAAATTTCGGGTTTGTAAGTCGAAATTTCGAGTAAGTAACTCGAAATATCGAGATAGCAAATCGAAATTTCGAGTTAATAACTCGAAATTTCGAGATAAGTAACTCGAAATTTCGAGTTAGTAAGTCGAAATTTTGAGTTAGTAAGTCGAAATTTCGAGATAAGTAAGTCGAAATTTCGAGTTAGTAGCTCGAAAGTTCGAGTTAATAAAAAACATACACCTGGCACTAATGCTCTTCCGTAAAGATTTCAACAGTCCTGACATAAATAATATAAATAAAATTAGGTAAATAAATGTAAAGATTTTGTAAGAATGTTATTTTCTACATGCATTGAGGAATCGTAGTATTACTTGGCACAATGTTCACTAGTGAGCATTAAGTCATCATGAATTGTGAGATTTTTACTGTTCATATTCAATTTAATGAGACGGTGCATTTTTGACAGGCTTATATTGTAACTAAATGGTAATGTTGTTTTTAAGCTTTTGTCTTTGTTTTACGGCAACCAGTATTAAATTAGTCAAGCATTTTGTCTTCTGTGGTGGCAATTGTTATTTTTTATTATAAAAAATGATATAAAATGCAATAGACAAAAAGATGAAAAAGTATGACATTTATTTTTCTTGCAAATTATTAAATATTATAGAAATGACCCTAGAAGCTATGCAATTATCCACTACATAATTCATGTCAACAGCATTAAACTATTATTTTCTGCAAATTAAGCTTTGATAAATGTAGGATACTTAAGGTGAAAACATATACCCTTATCATTGTGAAAACATATACCCTAGTATTATTCTAAGAATGATTTATGACTGATCTTACAATGTTTTTTTTATTTAATGTCATATATCCGTATATTTTTATCGCCTACAAAAAGTTTATTGTTTGTGTGAAAAACACTGTGAACTACCACGTCTTGGAAAACTTGAAGTTTTTTACATTCAGGAGACAGTCGATGAATACAATTATTTCCTGTGCTGCTTACATAGACATTGTCTTCATCATCAACTGTTAGGCCCCATGGTCCATTAAGATCTTTGTCTTTATATATTGCCTTGATATGTCCATCCAATGTTAAACTGGTCACAGAATCCTTATCATAATCAGAAGCATAGATGGTATTATGATCTTTGCTGAGTGCTATTCCATAACAATGATAAAACAGCTGTTCTCCATCAGAGTCTGTTTTGATCGTACTTAGAACTTTGCCATCCATGTTAAGAATTTTAATACATGTTAAGTTTGATACAATTAAATTTCCACTGCTATATGTAATACCAAAACATATATTAATGGTTCGTATTCTGCCCTCTGTTTTACTTAATAATCCAGATTTTGAAATTGATATAATTTGGATTCCACCCACGTAACCTATAGCAACTTTGTCATCATTTATTTTAGCTAAACTCCATTGATAATTTTCTAGTTTTAGTTCTGATACCACAGTTGTTTTCCTTAAATCAATTGCTTTAATTGTCCTATTTGAGTTATCAGTAACAACGACAAATTGTTGATGTGTTAATATGATACCAAAGACTTTTGGAGATACCTTATCATTATTAGTCTTAACCTGTATTTCTGTGTCAAGTGTCAGTGATTTCATATTTGTATTTACAGCATTACTGCTAGTTGTGTAAGCTGAAGTATCTGATTGATTTGAGAGTTGTTTCGATGTTGTTGTTTGAAGTTTCCTGCAGTGAGGCTTTGCATGTATTTCTGGTGTAACAGTTTCTATCCTGCATATCTCATTTACCTTTCCCATCATGTCTGTAATCTGAGGAGAAGGAAACAGTTCATACTGTAATATTTTATTTTCCTCCTGTAAACTTTGTAATTGTTTTTCAACTTTCCCAGTTTTCCCAGCTAATTGTTTCGTAGCTATGAATGTTTAACAGTGTTGACCAGCTTTCATTTTCACATCAATCTTTGTTTTCAGTTCTTTGAGGTGTTTGTCCATGCTGTTGAATGTTGTAGACATTTTAGTGAAGGTGATTGTATTACTTGCATGTATTTTATCAATTTTGTTCTCCATTTCCTTCTCAAAGTTATCAAAGAAATTGTTAATTTCTTTACGTTGTTTCTTCAGCATAGTTTTTGCTACTTTTCTCATATCATCAGCTATAGCTGACATTGAGTTCAGTGTATTTCTATCATCTTGAACTTGCTGAGACATGACATCCACTTTAGCTACATACGTTTGTAGATCATCTGTGATATTTATAGCTTTCACAAGTTTAGGAATGTGTTCCACTATATCACATTGCCTATGATTTAATGTAATACATGTAGTACATCCAAGCATGTCACAAGACGAACAGAAATATTCAATGACCTTGTCTACATGAAGGTTACATGTTGTTACACATAAGTCCTTTACATATTTATCCTTCACAGTTTGATGCATAGTGTGTTTATCCTGAAGAACATGGCTCCTGGAAGCTTTAGAAAGTTTATGATTCTTGTAACATTGTCCACAGAGATATTCAGGGCAGTCAACACAGAAACCTTCAGCCTCTGCCTGTCTTCCATCTTGTTCACAAGGTTCACAAAAAATAACTTCTGCCTCATCAGAACCTCCAATTACAGACCTGCTATGATCTGAACACTCGGCCATTTTGTCTGTACTACATTTAAAGTTACCCGTATGTCAGTGATATGTATTTCTTGTTTAAACTTGTTTATTTCTTATTGAACACCATCGTAGATATTTAGGTCAGGTACCCGGATTAATACAGCCAGCGAGGTGTAAAATTACTATATTTAACTCCATTAAAGCTTGCACATGACATAGTTGTATAAGATACAGCAGTACTAGTTTATGTATAATTTAAATGTATTGTATATACATGAATGTAACGCTAAATTATTGTAATGATTCTGTTTTATGATATCATATTAAACTTGAATTATGCGAGTTTAATTTTGTTTCGGTTCACAGCATATTTATGCTATTTTTTTTTATGAAAACTTGAAAAATCCTTCTTCTTTGTAAAAATGTTATCAATAGTGCAAATACATAAATTTTATTTACTCCATAAGTAATAGGGTAGAATTTTTGGTGTTAAAATATAAAAAATATTTCATATTTTTGCACAATAGATCTAAGCTAATAATATGATCGTCTGTCAGGATGCACTTACCCTTGACAGTAAAGTTTTTTTTTGTCTGTACAAGTTATCATTAGGCGCGGCGTCTATTAGATATGCAGCAATGGGGCCATTTTTAGACATGATTTTGTGGGGGTTTTTTTGGGGGGTTTTTTGTAACAAAATCACACTGTTTTCATTTTTTTGATTAAAATAGCTTTTCTGATATACATGTCACAGAGTTTAAAGGGATTATAATAAATGTTTAACTGAAGTGATACCGCCATGTTTGAATATCATATTCTTTTTCTCATTATCTAATTTTATCTACATAATAAACAATGTGCCAATGAGCCAGTCTATAGTCGATATTTCGAAAACTTATCAGTTGAGAGAGGTTACGACTGAGGCAGTGTCACTCACTTCATTTGCTCCGCCTCAGTTAATGTTCAGCTCTGTCTTCAATTGTCGCCAAATTCAATATGATGCTCCGTATGATAAGGGAAACACGACAACTTTGATCATTTCCACTTGTCAGATCATTAAATTACAAGTTACAAAGCCTAAACCACGCCCACTGTCAGAGAGGCCGTTCTCCCTTAACCGTTAAGAAAATACGCCGGTTACGCTACGTCCAGAAAGAGGAGATCACTGCAACATAGTTCGTCCTCAAAATCATTCAAATGTTATGCAATGCGTACCAATATTTAAATGGACATATTCTCGGCACATCTTTTTCTTGAATTTATTTTAAGTATACCAATCATTTCAATTTTACTTGTCACCAATTTATTTTGTCTCGACCAGACGTTTCAATCTTTGTAGCAACAGACAAACATTTCAGAATTTCAGACATGGACTTACTTTGTGAATTTCTGCATTAGGTTATACTTTTTCACAAAAATATGCACTTAATTATTAAACAATTAGCAAATACCAAGAACACGGAGAAAAAAATATTTGTGCTTCAGATATTCAACTGTAATAGAGAAAGATTTTCAATGCTGATTGACTGTTCACATCATTTGGCGGCGTTTTTAATTGATGTGTAGCATCAACATTTAACTTGTTATATGTTTATCTATGGGGTGAAAAATTGCTAATGGGAAATGTTGCTTGAGGGGTTTTAACGATCACATTTTTTTAAAATTAAGAAGATCAAAGAAATAGCCCCATAATGTCATATCAATGAGAAGGTCCAGAAAAGTTTAACCTAAACTAGCATGTTGTAAAATCTTAAAATAGAGAAAAACAGAATCCCTAAAGAAGGCCGAACACGGCACAATTGAAAATGTTGCAGGCTCGGTTTGATTAAGCCTGTTCATGGACGGTACTGGAAAGTGCAAGTTACCGTCCACGCCCCCGAGCACCGGCTTAAGCAGAATTCAACATTTAAACACGAAAATGGTGAAATTTTGAATTTAGAAACATCCGCAGATGTGTTCATACGGCGGTTATCATGGAACCTTCATTGTGACACAGTAGTGCCATTCCAAGAAAAGCGGCGAATGGTCCCCAATTTAAAAAAATGCGTGTGCCCTAAACGAGCAAACAATGGGCGGAACTAAATAAAATGGAATTAATTTTGAAAGGAGATCTGAGGTTATGAAGCCTGCATATCACAGATAGGACGTCAAAAGATAATTTAAAAAGCAGGCAACATATCCTTAGGGTGATTAGACAGTATTCAAATAGGAATACTGGAACCACCCAAGTCGAAAAAGGCCAAATTGAAGAAACTAAAAATACCACATAACATATATACACAACAAGTTCTGCCAGTACCAATTGCTTCTTAACTTAAACACTGACCAATACTAACTAAGTCTATGATCTTGGCAAATTATGTAACTTTCCCCAGGTTTCCATTTTAGCACTATGTAAGTACAAGTAGATATGGTTCAGTTATCTTGGTAGGTTGCATTAATGTTGTTTATATCTGTAACATTGTTTTCAAAATATACACTCATTCTTATTATGGCCATGGCAAGTTACGTAACTGTTGTTTCTATCCTCCAATTATTTACCTTTTTGGCACTTTAAAAATAGATTTTGTTTAACCCTGAAGTCGGATATATAATAAATGGTTCTGTACTAATCAGTAGTAAGGTCAACCCTTAAGGAAGTAACATAGCTACTTTATCCTTCAAGCCCTTGTTAATTCCCTATTAGCTCTTTTTTAAAGAAAAACAGCTATTGTTTAGTTATGATCTGCTCGACAGCAACAGCATTAGGTAAGTTTCACCCACACCAATTATACAAACAAAGCTACATATTCATATGTTGATGCATCTTTCATACCCAGTTTCAAACAAAAGGCCAAAGTTAGTGGGATTTGTAATCATATCGGTAATATCTCATTGAAACTTCTTATAGTTACAAGTACAAATGTTGCTGCAATGCAGCAATTGAGAAGCTCCGCGCAAAAAAATGTGCTCATTACAGATACCTTACCAAATTATTCCTACGCACAGGTCATGCTATATTCAGATTAAGTACTATTGTAGATTTTTTTTCCGAATGTTTTGTAAACCATTTTTTTGCATAATTATACTTATCTTTTG